ACAGGTCCCCAGCCAGGGACTCTGTACCAACAGCCGGGCATGGGATGTCGACGGAGTGCGGTGCGCAGCCCTGAGTTCGCGTGGCGTCATAGTAGTCCCGCTCGCGTCGTGCCTGGCGAGCGTGACGAGAGCGGCGGCCCGGGCGCCGCCTGTGCCCGTGCTACCGATGCGCAACGTCGTCGCCGGCCGGTAGGGCTCTGGGTGTTAGGAGTACCATATCGTACTCACATCCTAGAGACATGAACTCTATGCTCCTAAACCAGACCACCGTGCCGAGACATAGTGGGCATATGGGGTCAGCCATTCAGAACTTGTTGGGACGATCACGCTAACACGCAGAGGCCCCTACCTGGCGCGCCAACTGTCGGTGTTTCGGACCGGGGGGTCCTCAACCAACCAGTAAATGTGGACTGCGTGCCCCTAATCCCGGATGGTGATGCAAAGAGACACAAGGTTTATACTGGTTCAGACAATCGGCGCCCTACGTCCAGTGTAGGAGATCGATCTTGTATTCTCTGCACCGAAGTGCTTGTAGTAGGAGGTTACAAGCTGGGTGAGAGAGGGAGCTAGTCCCAGGTCTCGGCGTGGAATGGTGCGGGCTGCTTGAGTCGTTGCTCTCAGGCAGCGTGGGAGCGCGCGTGAATTGAGTGAGTGCGTTTTTGCGTGAGGGCTGGCGTGGTTTTGATCCCTAGAAACGGCCCTGGCTGCTTCCTTTTATAGCCATAAGGAGGGAGCCAGGAGAACATGAGAGAGCTACACATGGAGCCTTAGCGAGAAAGGAAGATCCAGTACTGTGGCCTATTCCTGTAGCAACACAGTGTCGGGAATGACAATTGGTACTTGATCACCGGTGCGTCACGCAGGCCATGCCCGAGGCTGTTGAAGTCGTAAGAGTCCTTGTTGACGTCTAGTCAGTATGGCCTCCACTGTAGGTGACATGCCGTGCTTGGTGGACTCTTGTCCTGGTGGAGTGCCGAGGCCTAGCGGGTGCTGGAGCTGATCGTGCCGAGGCCTTCTTTGCCGAGGCCTCGGAGGTGACCTGTGTACGACGCAGGGGTCTCGGTGGTCTGTGTCGTACCCGATTCTGGTGAAAAAGTGCGGAATGGGCGTCCGCAGGGAGCCGTAGTCTCTGCACCGTTAGTAGGGAATGGTAAAAAGGTGATTTGACCGCCGTCCCATCGCTCTTTTTGCCATACCCTGCCAATCGTGGCTGACGTAGGCGTAACTAGGGATACTTACACGGATGGGACGGCCCGCCAGAGGGGCAATAGAGGCGGAGGCGGAGAAGGAATGGCGCGTCCGAGGCCTTGCCGGGGGGTCTCGGACGAGGCAGAGACCGAGCAGCTGGGATCTCCTGCTGTTTCCGAGGCTACAGGGACATGGACTCGACCTTCCATGCCGCTTTGTCCTTGGCGCAAGGGTTAGGTAGCACAGGGCAGTATAAGTGTCAGGAGGGTGCACAGTGGTAAGTATAGTGGCAGGTAACCCCTGCTGTGCCCGGTCCCTGTCCTGTCAGTTGTTCTGCCCGCACTGTACCTGCATGCGGCTGACGTTTGCGGGAGTGGTTGGGTGTATTTAATCCGGACATGACGTTTTGTCAGAGGAGTTCGGTCGGGACGGAGGTTACGAGTACGTCCGCCGAGCCCGGCCTCGAGCGAATCGGAGAATTGGAGATCCGTCCGAGGCCTTTCGGGGCGAGGCTTTGACGAGAGGGTCTCGACGAGAAGGCCTCGGCGGGACGTTTTAGGCCTGTTTCGCATGAGGCCTCGGTGCAAGGCCTCAGGCGAATTGGAGAATTCTGCCGAGACCTTGTAGTAGTCTTTTGGCTTTGGTTTTAGCAAGGCTTAAGCAATATTCTTGGATCTTGCTTAGGGTACCCCTTCTTGTGGTATCCGACAGATCCAATCCCCTATATTTAAATACTGGCTCCGACCCTGCAAATCATTCTGCAAACTCAATGACCAATGGTTTCTGCAACTGATAAACTGGTTGGAACTGATTTGTTGTAAGAGAAAAACATTGTTCCATAATTGATAAGTCAAGCTGATAAATTTAAGCGAACATAGCATAATACTCCAGTAATTTTTACCTTGGGAATCCCATTTTAAAAAAGGCCTCTACGCAAGTAACATCAAACGCGTTCCATTTCCTATGCACCTGTCTATATAAACGGACGCACGCGTAGGCCGGACGGAGAAGCGTCAGCGGACCTAATCCTTCTGCAACCGGCTGCTTCGGCTGCCTACCATCACCATCTGCTGCTCTTTCCTATGCTTTCACAGGGCAATACGTGTCGATGCCTTAGCTTATCTCAGCGCCTCTTGCATAAGTGCCCTTTTGTTATCTAGAAACTGCTCCCTCCGTCTCAAGATATACACATCTCGTTCAAAGAGTTGTTAGATTTTTTTTCAAGTTTTAATAAAATATAAAAAACTATTTATAATACATAATAAGAATTAAAGATTAACAGTAGAATATATTCTATAATATATATTTTATATAAAAATATGGATACTATTTATTTATAAATCTAGTTATTTTTTTGAAAAATGACTCATTCAGATATGAGATGTGCATTGTTTTTTATATGATGGCAGTACCTAATAGCATATTTGATAATAAAGATGTGAACATCTATGGAACTGGAGTCAAATAAATGGTAAGACAATTTTAGGGTAACATCCACCAGATTGAGAAAAGAGATCTTTTTTTCTATATTCTTGTAAAAGGGGATTTATAGGGAAAAAATAGAGAGCTTCAGCAGATCCCATTTCTCTATTTTTTTCTCGATTAAGAAAATCCCTCCTCAACCGATATTGGGGTATAAGGGGTAGGACAGGGAAAGGGAAATAAATGAATGGCTAGAATTAAATGAGGTATGAAGAACGGATGGTTATGATACAATATTTCCTCTCTCTCTCTCCCAATCCCTATCCCCATCCAAACGTGCCAAAAGAAAAGGGAGAGTAACTGATCCCCTTTGTCTTTCCCCCTCACACCGAGACACATAGAACAGTCATCCATGAGACCACGACCGTGCACAACTGCTCCTTCGGTTGCCTACCACTGCGCACAACTCATCCGGACCACCACCACCACGGACTGTTGTTTTGGGCCACCATCGCTGTGCCACCATTGCCACTCTAGGTGCCGCCCTCACGGCGAGCCGCTGCTCTGGGCCACCGCCACACCATCTCCACCGCTCCAGGGTGCCACACCCCGACAAGGCGTTGCTCTATGTTGCCACTTTAGCCAAGGCAACCACTCCAAAGCCGTCAGCCACAACCACTCGACGTGGATGAGCGGCTTGCCCGCCCCTCCTTTAGCTGGCCTAGCAAGCTGGTGAGCAGGTCACCACGCCTTTCCTCCCGAACGCGCAACGCTCCGTAAATGAGCAAGCCGTTGCGCCACCCTTCTGGCAGACGAGCGCCCAATTAGACCTAGAATAAGATACTCCATAAATTCTAAATTGTAAGTCATTTTATTTTTTTTAGATACATAGCTTTTACTACACATAGATGTAAATTGTTTTGAAAAAGCCAGAATGACTTATAATTTGAAATCGAGAAAGTCGTGATTATTTGAATTTCTACATTTGCTAACTTTTGGCTCACAGAAAATAGAAACAATCACTCCCCATTTTTTTTTTTGGGAAACAACCAATTAGGGCTCGTTTGGCTGATTGAAAAATCAGTCGGATTTCACTGTGCGTGGATGAAAAACACTGTTCATTCTCTCACAAATTTCTCCAGATTCATCCAGATTTATCTAAATTCCTCCCAGCGAACAGGGCCTTACTCCCCATAAGCAACCAGTTTCACACCATTTAATTTAATAATAAGAAAAAAAGGGCACCACGCAAAAAGGACACCACGCTCCTTCTTCCCCATCAAGAAAAAAAAAAAAGAGCCATTCTTCCTGTGAACCAGCAATCAGCAGGGACCTCACTGAAAATCCACAGCCGCATCCATCCCACCCCACCTCGCCCAGACCATTCCACGCCACCAACCGCAAATAATTCGAAACGCCAGGGGCAGGCAAGTAACTTCCCGTCGGCTCCACCTTTTTTATCTGGCTCCCCCACCTTCCCTGGCCCGACGACGCCCCCATTTCGAAGCTCCTCGCGATTCCAATCCACGCACGCCTCCTCCGCCTCCGCGTCCGCCTCGCGCAGGGTTAGGGTTTGCTCTGCTCCCCATCTCGTGCTTGTTTTTTCCTGTTGGATTTGGTAGAGAAGGCTTGATCTATGGCTCTCGGGGCCCGATTCGGCGTACCCTGATCGATTCGTGCGGTTTTCTTGAGCGGGGGTGTGGGTGGGGGAAGGGGTTGTGGTGGTGTTGATTCGTCGGATACGGGGATTTCGCGGGCTGGGAATTGTCAAGGAGACGGGAGCTCGCAGGTTCGTGGGTTGATTTGGCTTTCGGTTGGTGGTTTCTCTTGTTCTCTTGGGTGGGGGAAATGAAAACGCGTTTTTTCTTCTTATTTTTTTATTTTAAAAAACTGTATAAAAGTTGTTTCTCACTTTGTCATGATTAGATTTGTCGGTCCATTTTGCCTGATTTTTCATAAGTTTATAGCGCTGTTAATAGCTAGTGACTAGTGATTTAAGTGCTCTATTATGGTGGAAATCGTGTGTATGTAGTTGTAAGCGGTGGATTTGTTAAATTATGCGGCAGATTTGGTGCGCGCTGTTCTCGATTTACATCCTTGGGGGATTTTTTTTTATGTTTTTGTAGAGATTCGAATTTGATATATTGCTCTGATTCGTTTAAAAAGTTGGTTTGATCAGTATTTGCGCAGCATATTTTGCGATAGTGACTTATCTTCCTAAAAATTAGGATCTTGTTTCGTCTACCACGATTGATATTTCCTAAGATGGCATTGATTGCTTAATGCGCAGCTTATAGTCAGTGATGGAACACAAGGAGGCGGGCTGCCAGCAGCCGGAGGGCCCAATCCTATGCATCAATAACTGCGGTTTCTTTGGCAGCGCCGCCACCATGAACATGTGCTCCAAGTGCCACAAGGAGATGATAATGAAGCAGGAGCAGGCCCAGCTGGCTGCCTCCTCTTTTGATAGCATTGTCAATGGCGGTGATGGTGGGAAAGGACCTGTAATTGCTGCAACTGTAGATGTGGCAGTTCCTCAAGTTGAGGAGAAGACTATTGTTGTGCAGCCTATGCATGTAGTTGAAACCAGCGAGGCTGCTGCTGTAATCCCGAAGGCCAAGGAAGGCCCAAACAGGTGCACAACCTGCAGGAAGCGTGTTGGGTTGACGGGATTTAACTGCCGATGCGGGAACATGTACTGTTCGGTGCACCGCTACTCTGACAAACATGACTGCCAGTTCGACTATCGAACTGCAGCTAGGGATGCGATTGCCAAGGCCAATCCTGTGGTGAAGGCGGAGAAGCTTGACAAGATCTGAGGCAGGCATTGGGGGAGCGAAATGGTTGCGATCTGCAAGAGTTCATCATGCATCTTTGCTGCTTTATCATTGAACTTCCCATTCTTGTCTGCTGTCAAATCCCCTGAGGTTCAATACTGTGATGCACACAGCATCCTGGCAGCTGCAAGAATTCATCCCCAGTCGAGTCCAAAATGGTTTGCGTGTTGGCTATGTCGTGTAAGCTTATTCAGTTATTCATGGTGGTTTCGGGTCGGTATTGTGGCATTCCCATTTAGGTAGCTCTGTAATGTACTATTGTCTCATGCGTGTTAAATTCCAATCAGTAATAGTAATCAGCAATTGTCTGCCATATTTCTTACAAGTATATTTTCTTGTTCTATTTTTTTTTGGTGATATTCCAGCTGAATATAACATTCAGTTAACCGCTTTGCATTGAATTATTGTGCACTTGCTATTTCATTCAGAGGACTAGAAGCTGAGAGGGGATTATGGTGGTTCCCAGGCCAGTGCTCACTTCATGTTATGTTATTTCATATGTGAAGCTATTGACCAATCAACTGATCTTGCTCCTTGTTCTCTGAGGAAGCAACCTACTTGCATTTATTTAGCTGTTAAAGGGGATGTAGAATCAAGGGTGCAATGAACTAGGATTCTTGTTGACGAACACTGCATTTCAAAATCATACTTGTTCCAGAGCTGTGATTTTGTATCAGGATGCAGCTTGGTGGTTGGGTATGCTGAATCTGCATTACACAGTCTGCTACAAGCACAATTTCTTGGTGAATGTTGACACTAGGCAAATTGAATTCTCAAGGACGGCTGCAAAGGGACATTTCATATTCTGGAATCTCATTCTAGTGTGTACAATGGGAACATGCAACTCGCCTTTCAACATGTGATTGGAACACGCGTAATTTGTTTTGTATGATTGTCACCTGCAAAGAATTGGAACAAGTCTAAACAACTTGTTTTTTGTATGATTGTCACTTGCAAAGAAGATAATGATTTGTACGAAATAATATTCTTGTGCTGGGCATGAAATATTTTCCTCCCTCAATTTGTGGGTGGGTCTCTTTAGACATGATGGGAACATTGAGCAACTCTTCTGCCGGGTGTTCAGCTGCGGCGATATAAAGAATACAGGCAATGATAGAGAAGTCAGATCGCCGTGAGATTCCTTCGTTGTTTATGGGAGAATGGATAGGATCTCAGCTTTGTCGTCCTCCCATCTCTGTATCTGTAGACGTATTTTATGGACCTAGTTGTTGTTAACTACGTTCGGAATACTATAGAACTGCCTGACGAAAACAGTTGCAATGCTCAGCCTTAACCAGGGGTTATCTAGATGCAAATCAGACACCCAAATGGCATTTTTTACCCTGCCACAAGTCAGATAGCAGCCATGATTCATGAGACAACAGAGCACTGCAGGATGAAACATTTTAGCAGCACCTTCAGTTACCAAGAATCAGATACTGAATGTGAATCAAAGCACCTTCAGTTACTCATCAATGGTGTAGTCATCAGCAAAAATAACTTCGTTACTTAATAAAAAGTTTCCACATCATCACAAATAACTTCCTTAACAAATGGTCGAAGAAACGGGGTATGAATTGCTTGGTATTGCATAATAAGTGGTTTCACATAAGTGAATATATGCGAGGGATACACATGAAACAACTCATTTACTCTTTCATTGGCTGTTCTAAGCTACTGTGTATGAGCAGAAAAAGGCCGCCCATTATTTATTCTGTATTATTTCTACTGCAAGTGCAAGTTTCAGGACTCAGGCCCCGATGTTGAAGTAAACTGTGTAGAATTCGTCCCTCAAACTGTACAATGGCTCAAGGAGGAAGTTCCTGATCATCCCCTTCGCAACAAAGCTGATTGGGTGGCACTGCCTTAATGGGTCAGTTTGCGAGAAGCTCGCCGCCTGCTCGAGTATCCCACCAATGCTCTGAAGGGAACTCTTGCAGCTGACTTGAATCTTCGTCCCCGCAGAGTAATTCATGCCTGTCACCAAAAAGCATCCTGGTTTGGTCCCGAGCTCAAGGGAAACCGAGTTAGGGTTTCCATCAAGACCGGGCACTATGTTGAAGAGGGAATCTGTGCTCTTCTGTGCAGATAGAGTGAGGTTATTGGTGATCACAGTTCCTGGCAAGTCAAATGGTTCGATCAGAATGGAAGCTCCCTTCAAGGTTGTTCTTTAGATGTCATGCAGCGCTGTTGAGTCCGGAGGGCCCTGAATGTCGCATGGATGGCGGTGTCAGTGCCATCGACTTCAGGTCGCTCTTGCATTGTCAGGGTCCCATTTGCGCTTGAGAGGACAAATGTTTTCCCATTTGATACTTGTGTAAAGGTTACCAGCTGTGAGTTGTGTGCTGGAGGGACAGTAGTGATCCAATCTGAAATTGCACTGCCATTGCCAGCTTTTGCATCCCAGTCACCGGTGGATAGGCCAGCAAGAACAAATGGCCCAAACACGACTGCTTGAAGGGATGCATACTCCGGTCTGTCATCTGAAGGGATAGCTAGCAGTTAATATTCAGATCAAGATTCTCGCTATACAAAAATCAAAATATTAGCACACATGGGAGCAAAATCTGTTACTTCTACGAGCGTCCTATGTATTTTATTACAACCACTGGTTATCATGATGAAATATAATGTATGAGATAAGTTAACCAATTCGTCCTTCAATCTTGGATTAGGTGAAGCTTCATGAGTTACCTTTAATTGATTCAGTCCTCAACCTGATGGGAAAGTGTAGTGCTATGTGATCATCTGAGTTCCACTGTTTGGTGATTGATAGGAAAGATCCTGCCCACAGAATCAGATCAGGTAATGAAGTGGCCTTAGAACATCAATTGTAATTTGAACGTTAGACAACAGAATGATTTTACCTGGAGATATCGACCCCAAATCTTTGTCATTTAAAGTTGCTCCTGCACCATCAGCAAATGTCCATGATGGAATTCTAACATTCAATTTGGCAGTCTGACCTTTTGTCTGAACAAATAGAAAACAAATGCGCTGACTGCACATGTTTTATCTGAATTTAACATATACAGAATTGAAAATAATAACCTTTGCAGAAATGGAGAGTGAAATTTGAAGATACTGGTCAGAAGAGCTGAGGGTTTTGATTTTCTGAGTAACAGTAAGCCCAGCTGCTTTCCAGTCGTAAGTACTTGGTATGTACTGAATGATATTGAGTGCAGGCGAATCTCCTTTCTCCTCAAAGTAAATAGAATCACCAAGTTTTGAAAAGGATTCTATACCTGCAGATGGAAATCATAATATTTTGAAACAAACAATAAGCTCAAAAATAATTGCAACCCCAATTTTAACAGACATAAAGTAAAGAGGTTAAAAATGAAGGGGCTAGACACTGCCTTCAGCTTATGGAATCAAAATAAGAGGAACAGTTGACTGAAATCAAGCACAGCCAATTACTGTGGAATGATCACATCAAGTCAGCAGAGATAGATGTTGGTGATTTTTTATATTACCTGTCCCATAACAACACCAGAATGAATCGTACTTTGTACCCCAACCATGATAACTCACAGCCTTAGAGTGTCCAGGGGCCTGTGGTAGCATGTAAATCATCACACCAGGATCTGTCCCCCTTTGAATGCTCAAAACACCATTTATCAATGCCCTTTCGTAGTAATCTGCATATGCTATTTCCTTTGTCCATCTGAATAGGTTGCGAGAAATCTGCACATAGGCTGCATATGACACAAATCTAAACAAGGGAATATATGTTTTAGGTGGTTTGATGATTTTCAACCTTAAGCATGTTGTAGGTGGTGCAAGATTCCTCATTCTCAGTACTCAGAATCCCAGCTAAACGCTTTGGATCAGTCCTGAAAAGCAGCTAAGAGCATAAGTTCCTTCTGAAATATAGTTGTCTATATACTATGGACATCAGTAAATCAGGCACCTAGAAGTTATACCAGAATTCACCAGCAGATGTACCACCAGTTGCATAGCTATGGGAAGAATTTATTGTATCCATAAAGAATGACGCAATTTGCTGTTTCAAAATGAGGCTTATGGTCAGCTTCACCCAAATGGCACAGAACCAATGAGAAAAAGAAGACAAGTTGGTACTTCTTCAGATGCAGAGTCGTAGACACTCAAAATTTTACAAATAACAGCAAGAGTTATGCATATCTTTGATTTTCTTAAGCCAACAAGTATACTTCTATGGGAAGAAAGTAAAATAGTCTACTTGTTACCCCTATGAACAGTACCAGCATCATAATCGAAACTGATAAGAACGTCAACTCTCTAGTAATAAGATTTAATTGAATTTTACCTTGTAAAGAGGGTCTCCTGTAACTTCATACCTCATTTGCGCACCAATGACAACTGGAATGTGTGTGTTGGAATGAAAGCCGGTTAATACTGTCAGCCTGAAATGAAACACATACAAACAAAGGTTATCACTCTAATGAAAATCCTTCAAGAGGAACATTAGTTTAAATCCATCGATAAAGTCTAGTACTAGGAACCAAGTTCAGTTTTCATGATAATACCAGTAGGGTGGTGGCATAATTAAAAATGTGTTTGATGTATAGACATGTAGTATTGCAGTGACCACCAGATGATAAAACGATTAGATTGAAGTTAGTAATCAAAGGTCTTAACATAGTTAAAGACGAAGCTGGTTAAGTTCATTTATTGTAAATTAGACATGAATAATCCCTACCTATCACCAAACAGCTGAAGATTCACAATTAGGAAACCTGATCAGTGTTCAGCATACCTGAACTGCAAGCAGCCCAAGAAAGCATGGCTTATCGAAGAGATGAGCTAGTGTCAAATGCTTCAGATCATTCTGCCCAATTAATAGAAAGGAAGCGTATCAGCTAGACATAACTATATTAATCTATGCTACAATTGTAACAAACAGCAAATCTTACCGTTATCGTGTAGAGCTGGTAGAGAACATCATTCATACCACCAGTCTCCTCATTGAGAGACTCCCAGTGCCTCTCAATGCTATATTTCTGTATGACATTCTTCACGCGGTCACTGAAATAATCAGCCATCTTTACCACCATGTCAAGAGCCTTGGAATTCCCAGCCACTGTGTACTGATCAAGAAGGCCTTGCATAATCTGCAAACCGGAAATTAAATTCACTCAACTTGACATTTACATATTAATCAAGAAGTAGTAATGGAAACACCCCTTCACCAGTTCACCTTGTGGATTGTGTAGTAAGGAGCCCAGACAGGCTTGATGGCCTCAACCCAATCGAAGAACTCTGACGGGAAGGCCGACAGGTACCCTGTGCCCATCTTCTTCTGGCAATCAGAGAGCGCGCCGATGACATTTTTGCATTGAGAGTATCATTGTGTGTGCTAGCCCACATCTTTGCAGTAGCACTCAGGTCGCGATTTGCAAAAATAGGACTCGAGACATCGGTCGTTTGCAGATTTGACACTGGACCCACATTCATCGACACAGATGGACCTACTTGTCATCCACCCGAGTGTCATCATAGTCAAGGAGTTAATCTTTCGAGTGTCATTTTTGCAATTTTTTCCTCAGGTAATGCCCTGAAAAGAACAATGTCAAGACATTGAAAATTCAGTCTAGCTGCGTGGTTGTTCTGGGTAAATGCTCCAAATCGAAGCCAAACGGAGATCCGGCGGCGCACCAACGAAGTGTCCGCGGAGCTGGACGTCAGGGCCCTCCCACCCTCCATAGGGAGTCCCCGGCGCCGTCAGGCTGGCCTGCTTGCGGAAGCTCCAGACGAGGCGGTCGACGTCCAGGAGGAGCAGGTACTCCAGGTTGGTCTGCTGGGCTCGCCAGTACAGGCTGCCCGGCTCCAGCCGCACGTCGTGCAGGGACGCCTCGGAGAGGAACGCCCCAGCCGCGGCCCGGGGCCGCGGCGCGCCGCCGGCGGTGGCGGTGGTGGCTCCCCGGAGCTTGCGGTAGAGCATGAGCCAGTCGAATGCCTCCTCGCGCTGCAGCGCCCGCCGCGGCATGAGCGACATCCAGGTGGACTCATCGGTCGGGGTGAGGTGCTGCTCGTGTCCGTGGTCGTGGTCGTGGCCGTGGCCGTGGACGACGGGCTGGAGCGCCGTCGCCGGCGGCCCTGGCCGCAGCTGCGCCGCCGCGAGCTCCGTGTGCGACGAGGTCAATCCCGGGAACGCGTTCGTGCACGATTTCGCTTCCGCGCCGAGGAAGTCGGCGGCGGCTGCCAGCAGCACCACGATCCCTACCGCCGTCGCCGCGGGCACGCTCGGCGCTCGCGCCATGACCCCTTTCTTGCAAGAACCGCTCAGTACCCAGTACCCACCACCCACTCAGTCGATGGACACCCACCGCATTAGCGAAAGCCTTCAGCACCGCCAGACCTTTTAATACCTGATGACAAGCGCGAAGAGGAGAAGCATCAAGAAATGGCGACAACGCATCAAACGACCGTCGAGTCAGCCAAGGATTGCGCGGAAAGCCACTGGCAAGACAACCAAAGGATTGGAGAAGACGACCTTTCTCCTCTCCTCGCAAGCTGATAGTGACCGACTACGGACTACCAGGTGCTGAACGACTGACATCGGGGAGAGGGGACGGATTTATAGGGGATTCTTGGAGCCCAAGAGCGGCAAGCCGAGTGCGGAGTGCCGAGGCCATCATCATCAGGAGTCCTCCTCTATCTGCCTGCCCGTTCCAATCCATCATTGGCTTGGCCACCGCTCGACGCTTGTTTGCTTGCACGCCACCACCGCAACGCCGACGGCGACGGCGGCGAGTGGCGCGTCCGCGTCACGTCGCACGCCACGCAGGTCTTTTCTCTTTCGTTCGGTTCCTCTACTCGGCGAAGTGGCGAGCAATCCTACACTGACGAAGTAACGATGGCCACTTGCCGGAGCTCGCAACGGAAGCCGCGGAGAGAGGATGCGTCAGGTTACAAGCAACCTGCCCGGCCGTTCTGTGCATGGAATCGTGGATCACCAGAATGACCTGAGCTGAACCCAACCGTTCTCTGCGAGGCCACTTGCGGCAAGGCCGTGCGCCGCTCGCCGTCTCTCTGGTCTCGGCACGCTGCTGCCGTTTGCAGGACATGGCATGGCATGCCATCCATTTGCCGGCTCTGGTTCGCTTTGCTTGCTGGACATGCATGGCATCTAACCGATCCTGTTTTCCGGTTTTCCTTAGACGGTCTCCAGTAGATAACATGGACATCAAACTCAAAATGGGTAGCAGGATGTTAGTTTGGTTTCCACCATGGCCAATTAGGTCCTTGAATCAGTGTCCTGATCGGGGGCGCCCAACCGCTCCATGGTTGGTGCCCCCCGTCGCACAGCACCATAAAGGGAGGTGGGGGCCGGGGCTCTAGCCACGAGGTTGACCTGAGCCGCCGCAACCCTCCGACAAAGAAACCCTAACGCTAACCGATCAAGAGACGGTGCTGCTAGCGACGGGAAGCTGCCACCGACTTCATTGTCACCTCTGCAGTGCCACCACCGGGACACTGGACCGCGTCTCCACCGCAAGGTGTTCGACTATGACGCCGTGCCGCCGACGGCCACATCATTGCGGCGCTATGGCCGCAACTGCCTTAGGGCAAGGTACATGACCAAGCTTCTCCATCTAAATTAAGACATTACCCGCTAGATCTACAACTAGAGGTTTAGAACTTGCTATCGATGGTACCAGAGCCGTGGTTGCTAGTTTGTAGATCTAGTTAGAGGTAGCAGCTATTTAGAAGTAGATGAGAAAGATCCAATTTGGATTGAGACAGTGGGTTCGGTCAAACCCTAACCAGCCGGATCTAGGATCGGGGAAGGGGAAGAAGCAAAGAGACAGAGGGTTTGAACCCTAACTCAAACCCTAAGCATCAACCCGAACCCTAATTCCATCGGGGAGGATGAACAGCTAACCCTAACCCTAACCCTAATCCCCAATCGGCAAAGAACCGAGAAGAACACAACAAGATTCAAAGTCAGAAGAGGAAAAGGGGAAAGGGGAAGAGCTAGGAAGGCGGATTACCTAACGAAACCCTAACCCTAACTCACGGCAAGGAAGGGGAAGAGAGTGAACGGACAAGGGGAAGGAGCTCCTACCTGGGGTCCGCCCGCTCCGTCTCCACCATCGGCCGTCGCATGGACGCCGCGCGGGAAGTCAACCCCAGCCACCGGGACGGGAGGAGCGCCGCCGCACGATCTCCGCCTTGGGCTCAGGCTAAAGGGCACCACCGTGGTGTCGCTCGACGGTGCCACGCGCAGCTCTGGCCGCACGCGTGCGGCGGCGAGGGGTGCCACAGCAGAGCCGCCATCCCCTGCGTCGCGTCCGCCTTGAGCTCCACTGCGCTCTCGCTCTCGGTCGCTGCGCGCTGAAGTGAGAGAAGGGGAGGGAGGAGAGTGTGGCTAGGGTTAAGGGGGGCCGGCTGCGCGGGGGGAGCGAGGTCTCGCCGCCACGAACGACGGCGCCGCCATCTCCCTCAGGCCGTCACGGGCGGCCACTGCTGTATGTCACTCGGGTGCGGGGGAAAGCGAAGAGAGAGGAGGCGACAGGCTGCACGCTGAAGAGAGAGGAGGGGACGGTGAAAATGGAATTAGGGTTTCGGGGGCACCGGCCGCGGCGCACTTTTGATCATCCGAAACGCGTGCTTAGCTGTTGATCTCCATCGAACGACGCAGAATCAACGGACCGGAGGCCGGCCTAGGCGGCCGCGCGGCTTTGCCGGCCCAGGCCTAGGTTGCGGCCTGGGTGCGGGCAGCGGGCGTGCAAGGGAGCTGGGCCGGGAGGCTTTTGCCGTTTTGGCCGAGAACCAGTCAAGATTGAGCCCAGTTTTTTTCTTTTTTGTTTTCCGATAAATGTTTATTTTTGGAAAATGAAAAATGGCTCAAAGAAAATAGAAGAAATGTGAATTTTTCCTGTGGATAAAATTCACAAATTATGTTTAAGTTTCCGCTGCAAAGTTTAATGCTGATTATCTTCTAATTAAATTCGAACTAACGGAAGAATTTAATTTGAAGAGCAGTTATATTTAGTAAATTATTATTATGTTGATCCTCTAATTAAATTGGAACCAACGGGGAAATTAAATTAGAGGAGTAATCCATTTTTGTTTAAGTAAGATTATGGTATTGCCATTTTCTGACCAACGTTGATGATGACGATTTTGTAATGAATTTAAGTTTGAAGTTTAAATCTCTGTTAAATTTTACACCATTGTGGTCAATTTTTCAGAGAGTAGGGAAGGACAAAGAAATGTTCTTGAACTAAAAGAATGTATTTCATTATCAAGTTTCCGCTGCAAAGATGTTAATTATCTTCTAATTAAATTCGAATCAACAAGAGAATTTAATTTTGAAGAGCAGTTATATGAATTTCAAGTTAATTTATGAGTTTTATGCATTAATTCTATTTTCTGGCCAACGGTGATGTAGAATTGATGCATAAGCATATTGTATTTTTTATTTTAACCAACGAGATCACTCAGCTACGTGCTAACGGGCTGCAATGCTGGGGTATGTGAATGAAAAGGCTTGAGTCAAGCCAGTTCAGGACAATTTTTGTTAGTTTACTAATTTTTTATTAAATTGGAACCAATGAGAAGATTTAATTGGAGAATGAAGTATAAGTGAATGATTTAGTCGTCATGACTAAGTTTTCGTATAGATGTATTCGGCATGGGAAGAAGTTTTGGCACAGTACTTATGCTAGTCAATCCTACATGGCGGGAGAAGTTTTGTGATGATTCACATGTTTTGGATCCCGCATAGCGAGAGAAGTTTGGGTAGCTCTTATGCTGTCCTAGTATTGATCGTGGCACAATAGAAATGCATCGTCATGGTCAATACTAACTAAAAGATAAGAAAAGATGCAAGCATGACTTGCAAAAGTACAACTAATGAAAGACCTCGTTGAGTTCTTGAAGTGAAATAAGGAAAGTGTACTCCTAAACGGATCAAGAAATAACTTTGTTTACATGACAAAATCATGTGAATGAAGTAAGTTATAAGTGTCTCCTCGTTTACAGGATTTCTGAATAGTTATCGAAATTATGGCAGTAAAGTTCATGCCATATTTCGAGAGGGGGAATATCAAGTTTAATCAAGAAAGATATTCTTTATTAAGAGTGAGATAAAGATTAATTAAGAAGTATGCGACCGTCGGAGGAGTACAACGGTCATAATAATGATACCCCTAAGCAGAGAAATAACTAAATTCTTGGACCTTTTAAAGTTCCGACAGGAAGATAGTGTAGTTAGCGTCAAAGATGTTAAGGTGGTGCTTAAAGCGTCATATGAGAGTTTAACGGATTAAACCCAAAATAAGATATTTAAAGATACACTATCTTTAGAAAAGATGGGAAGATCTGGAGGAGCATGGTATGTAGAGGTATGTAGAGACCTAAGACTTGAAGAGAAGAGGGACTACGTGCCCACTCTAGTGACTCAGGAGCAACAAGTTTCTTAATACTCTAGTGACTCAGGAGCAACAAGTTTCTTAATACCTGTTGATGTTGTATGACTAATACAACACATGTTGTTGGCTCTTCAAAGAAGATGAATAATATAAACAAGGATCTTGTGATATAGGAGCCTGTAGAATCAATTGCCTCTTGGCAATGAAGAGCAACAACAGCCCCATATGAAAGTGTCAGTAGCTGAGGCGCTAGAAGGTCTCAAAGAATTAGTAAACCAATTTTCTAATGACCATGAAGTCTATGTTAGTAAAGAAATTCAAATGGAGGGTGATCCCACCTCATTTGAAGAAGCTATGAGACGTGTTTACTTGTTTAAATGGCAAGAAGCTATAGAAGTTGAAATGAATTCGAAGAATACCAACGATGTTTGGGACTTAGAAGTAATTCCTAATGGAGCCAAAATAGTAGGCTGTTAATGGGTCTACAAGACAAAATGTGACTCCAAAGGGAATATAGAAAGGTATAAAGCATGACTTGTGGCAATATGCTTTAAGCAAAAAGAATGAAAAGATTACAATGAGAGTTTTCTCTCCAGTCTTATGTAAGGATTCTTTTAGAATCATAATGGTGTTAATGACACATTACGATTTAGAGTTACATCAGATGGATGTAAAGACGGCATTCCTCAACGGGGATTTATATGAAAACGTTTACACGGCATAACCCAAAAGGTTTTTATCATGAAAGAAAAGAACATATGGGATGCCGCCTATAGAAATCCATTTATGGGTCAAAAGTAAGTCTCTATACAGTAGTATTTGAAGTTGATGAAACAAATGATAAGAAAGTTTGGATTTTAATGAAAATGAGAAGGACAAT